GGAAAAAAAGAAAAAAATATATATTATCTTTGTGATGATACAGAACTGTACTGGTATACTTCATTATACCCTTAATATTACACTTTATTATTTTCTAAAAACTAAAATTTTATACAAAGAAGGTAAATGATGAACTTGCAGCTGCTCGGCTATAAATGAGCAGGAGAGATGAGTGGTGAGAAGAAAGCACTAAGATGTGAAGCAGCTTTGGGCAAACACCTAGAAATAGAAAGCAACATGATCACTGTACGCTGACAGAGCAATCACAACAAACAGAAGTGGCTTTGTTACCAATGCACTTCAACTCGGAGAAGACACAATGAGTTGGGGAAAACCATAAAGTTGGAAGAAAGTGTGTTTCATGTAAACCTGCAACTTTTCTGGGAAACGGCACAGAAAACAGCAGAGCTAATCAAAGGTTTTACTGCTTCCACCTGCTCTGTGCAGCACCAAGCCTCAGACCGGACAGCTCTGAGAAACAACCAAAACCAATCTGGGCTTCATTTGGTCCCACTTGGAGCACCGTAGCTGTAGTCCTCAGCTACAGTCACCGTGCTAGCCTAATAAATCCTTCAGCAGGTTTTTCATAATCCCATCCCACGTCTGCGCTCGCTATTTCTGGGATGTTATTGATCAACATCGAAAATAACATTTGGAGCTGTGGGGGATTAATGGTTTTGTTTGTGTGCAGGGTTGTTCGGAAAGAAGGAGCAAGGTTACTCAATTACTCATCGGCACTGCGAGCCGAGCGAAGCTCTGTAACGCCGTCAGTAGCTTTCTGAAGCAGACACACATGTACACACCACCACACTCAGGAAAACAGATGTCCAAGGAGCAGCATTTGATTGAAATGCACCGCTTGTACATGGAGCATAGTTTTTTTTTCTTCTATTCTGTTTTGCTGCTGAATATAACATATATATATGTGTGTGTGTGTGTGTGTGTGTGTGTGCGTGCGCGTGTGTGTGTGTATGCAAAAAGTACGCTGCACACTCATCGTGAGCTCCAGGTTTGAACTCATAATGAAGGTGAAGAGGACTTTCTTGTACTGCGCATGAAAAATGATAGAAAAAAGGACTGAAAGAACTGATGTATGAATCAGCAGATTGCTGCCATCAGGGTGTTTCACTGTGCTAAAGAACCAACCCTGATCTATCTCTTTCTCTTGCATTGAATCGTTCTGCTGGCCCATGATGACTTCTGATGATCAATCTCATCCAGATGCTGGTAGTAAATGACAATCAGTTGCTGAAGGACTTTACAGACATCAGCCGTCATCATTAGCCTGAGCAGAGATCTGGTTTGTGTGCCAGGAATTAACGCTGAAAGTTGGCTTTTGGTAACTGAATCGGCCAGGATGGGTTGGGTAGTAAGTCCTAGTTTGGACAAAGCATAAAATATTAAATATTAATGCTGTGTTCAGACTGAATGCATCTAATGTCTCAAGTTGACGCTTGTATACTTTGAAGTCAGACACTTCATAATCGAGAGTCATATTGAAATCTTTGCTCTAGACGCGGGAACGAGCAAAGTGTGGAAAGATGCATGTGGGTTGTTTTCCTCTGCTGGTGTCTTTGTATAATGGCGGATGAAATTGAGCAAGTGGCTTTGCTTAATTTACTGAAAGAAAGAGAACGTTGTCGGGCGCCTCAGAGCTGTATGGATTCACCAGATAATTCAGAGAGTTCTGAGTTTGGTGAGCTTCACCACCCACAGAAGCAGCACACTGATGAGGATCGCTTTCAGCTCTATTTTCATCTCCTCCAAGCCCAGTTTGTCGACGTGGTGCCCATGTGTCCTGCCAGGATATATATTACAGGCCACTATGTTACACAGTGGACTCTCTCTGATTGGTTGATGTTCCACGTCCAGCTGCAAATATTCATATTTTCCAACTCTAGCGACATCCGTCGCAAAACACATACAAATGTATAAGGTGCATTAGACGTCCCCCTCTTGGCCGCCCCCTTACCTGAGTTTGCATCATGGCTCTCTCAACACACCGAGTTCTCCCTCTCTCTAGTTTGGTCCTGAGGCAGAGTGCTGTGACCTCCACAGACCAGAACTTTGGCTGGGACAGAATACACTGTTCCAAAGACAAAAGAGACGCAGAAGATTGGACTTATTTCAGGCAATCCTCACTTGAAAGGAAGCAGTTCAGGTGTAATGTGCTGATCTGTGACAAACTAGATGAACTTTTCTGGGTGCAAAAATGTTTTTGTTAATGTATTTAAGAAACATCCCAAAACCTGGAATTCTGAGTATTTAAATAAATAGGAATAAGCTGTTACAGTTTGCAATAAATAGATTAAAAAAGATATACTGATGGTCACATTTTGTTGTTGCATTATAATGGAAAAAATGTTCAATTAGGAGTAGTGTTACGACACTGTGGAATTTTTACTTTGGACAAAAACATTGCTACTCTTGAGTAAAAACTCTAAACACTACCCACTGTCATCCGGCAGAGTAAAGAAAAAACAAAAAAATGCATCAGACTCAGACACACCAAGAGTTTAAGTTAAAGGAAGACGTCTTGTTTGTGCACAAGCTTTGTTTTTCTAATGTCTCTCTCTGTCTGCTGAGCCATTTGGAACTGGAAGTACTTTGCCCCACGTCAGTAACGACTTACTGACTTGGTATCGATTGGCTTCATGGTTTTGTTTTTCCTTTAATTATTACTTCTGCCTGGATTTGTTACAAAGCAATTATAAACATATTTTTTTTCATTTTATTTTATACCAGACTTTGTGCCTAACTTGACATTTTTGCCGGCCTAATGATAAAGGTATTACTGAGTTGAACAAACTGGACTGTATTTACGTTTTTTTTAAATCACCTGTTTGACTGGATTAGCCTGGACTGAACTGAATTTGGACTGATTTTGACTCCATAGAGCTGGATATTCAGTGGGAGGACCTGTGCTGTGAACTGGTCTTTTACAAACTGAACCAAGACAAAACACTGAATGTGTGTTTTCCTGACAAAGTTAACAAGGAACATTTTGAAAGGTTTTAAATGAGCTTCCACGGCAGTCAGACATGTCACAGCAGTACGACCAGGAAACAGAACCTAGTTTTCATTTGCTTCATCCTCTCTGCACTAAAGTCTAAGACTTCTCCTGCTCACTGTAGTGAGAAATCGACAAGCAAGCCTCATTTAAAACACCTAATTATTAAAAGCTATTAGAGCTGCAAAGACTTTATCTGGGCACTGTGGTGATAAGCTGGTGTGTAATAGCCAGGCCAGCTCGGGGTTTCAGCTCTCATAGAGCTGATGAAAGGCTTCCAGGGAACGATGCAGGTGGGGTGCAGACATCCAGATGATTTACCCACAGATAGATATGTCAGAAAAAGACTAATGCCAGGATCATCTCTAATGACGGAATTACTCAACGATGAATTTCTACACACAGATTATTAATGACGACGTGAATGTCTCATGAAAGTGATCGATGTCTGTAGCGGTGATGAACAAGCACCGATGTTGTTTGTGGATGCTTAGCAGGTCTTGTAGGAGTCATTAGTGCAACAGTAAACTGTCCTAATTATGCAGTTATTCTATAGCTATATAAATCACTGGGTGATTAAAATCAAATGATGGGACATGGTCAGCATTTGTCACCCTGCTGTTCACATAAACGAGCACAGGGAGCTTTTCAGAAGCAATCAGAACTTTGTGAACATTGAAAGTGCCAGGAAGAAGAAAAGCCCTTACATTACAGCTCTGATTCACTGTAGCATTTACATCGATGTAAAAGTCGGGATAGAAGAAGCCTAGAGCATCAAGGACTCTATAGTATACATGATATCAACAGACCATCATTCCCGTTCAAAGAAAATGACAGTGTTTTTCTAACATCTCTGCAGACATTTGGTTTGTTAAAAACATGAACATTTTTTTTGTTTGTTTTTTGTTCGTTTTTTTGCCACCAGTACAGTTTGCTTCTTTGACCTCTTTCCCAACCCCAAATCAACATTATATTATATTCTGAGGAAGGACGCAGAAACGGAAGACGTGCTCTGATGAAGATGGCCGGCCACGTGACAACCATCTAACCAGCCTGCAGATTCCTGGATCTACATGTAGGCTGGGAAGATGCCTGCTCACAGAGCCAGCCACTGCCTGGCCTGCAGCAGCTTTCCTGTCCACTCATAACACAGCAGCCGCCATCAATGACTGTCTGCTACTGAAAGACTGCTTGTTGGGCCAGATGACGACACTCATTTAAAACAGTATTTAAAAAGCTCTTAGCGCTTTGAAATTATTTGTTTTCTAGCTTTTTGGAAACTTAGCGGGAAAAACTAAGTTAAAAAACAGAGGCAAACACACTGAGTACCGTAACTGGCTAGCTGTTAGCTGCTGCTTCAAAGCTCGTCAAGAAAACCAAAACTTAAAAAAATAAATAAATAAATAAAAAATTATGTTACTATTTCTTGAATTACCAATGGGACAAATAAGTGGTGAATATGTTTTTCTCCGTAGGTATTTCAAATTATGTTACTGACGTGAAATTTAGAGCCAATAATAAGCCCCGAAATAGTAAGTAAAAAGTTGAACAACACAGAACGATATTGCCCCAACTTTCCATCTCAGTGGTCACACCGTTATGCCTGATCAGTGTATATGCAGCCTAAAGTAAAAGTGCTTTTCAGTAATAGACTGTCGGCGCTCTGAGGCAGCAGGTCACAGTCAGGAAACAACGGCTGCTTTTTATCCAGCTCAAATTGCTATTCATGAGTGGTGTCCAAAGCACTTTTCATCATGTTATTGTCCCAGTGTAGCGTTTGTTGTGAGGCAGCGCAGCCCAGAACTGCTTCCCATTTCTGCAGCATATCGAGCTTGCCTTTTCACTGATTAGATATGGATTCCCTGATGCTGAGCCTTTAAACCAGCTCTGAAGCCTGACTCTTTTTTTTTTCTTTCCTCCCATACGACTTGGTGCAACAGTAACACAGACAGACACGTAGGATGGTGTTATCTAGAACGATGCTTTGCATTTGGATGATTTCATTGAATTTCTTGCTATGACTGCAAAACACTGAGGATCTCTAAGAAACCTGTGAATACATTTTTCGGAGCCGGTGGTGTGTAGCCTTTGTTTTAATGCCTTCCAGTTTCATCTCAAGCCTCAAGGTTAAGGAGGAGTAAAGCAATGAAACATTGACCGATCTTGACCAAAGCTCTGTGAAATAGCCGTGTTCGTTCTTTTGGAAGCTGGTTCCAGTTCGACGGCTTCGGGCTGTTTTTATTTGGAGTCACAGAGCCAATAACCCAGAGTCTTTCTCCACCTTCTTTGCCAAACAGCTCATTTAATTAGAGAGAGTAATGTTGGGTTTTAGTATGTGGTGATGACTGATGCCTCTCACCTGTACCTCCTTAATCCCAAATCAGCTTGCTTAGGATTTTAACCTTGACTTTACAAATACAGAGAAAATAACAGGAAAGTAAAGATTTAAAAAGTAAACCACTTCACACACATTCCTGCATGAAAACTATGATAGTCCACGTTCAATTCAGTTTAGTTCATTTCATAAATACTTTTGAATGTCATAACAGAGTTATGGATGCTGATGCTGTGAATAGTGAAGATATCTGTTAGCAGTCAGTTAGGCAATGAATATAAAGAAACCTGACTGAAGACTGTTGTTGTTGGACAGTGTCATGACTAGCTAAGTTTCCATCCAACCGTCATGCAAATTTCAAGCAAACTTCTATTGGTTTGGAGCGAATCAACCAGGCTACGCAAAAAAAACGTGATTTCGCTAGATTTATACGATACACATGGTTGGAATAAGCAGGAAGTAGAGGTTCCAAACAAGCACGATCCATACATCTCAGAAATGGAAAATCCTCTCCTCCAAGTTGGAGGTTTCGAATTAGAAATGTTCCCAAGCTCCACGCCTCTGGTAAGGCACAGTGGATGGTAAGGTTCAGAGCGTAGTAAGCAAATGCATTTCCATCTTCTCTTTACACTCTTAACTCCTTTAACAATCTTAGTCCCAAAACCTGTTCTGAAAAAATGAGAAAGTAATTTCATATTTTGCCATTTCCATAAACTTTTTCTAACCAAAGGTGTCAAAATGTGCACAAAAAACATAGATGGAAACACGACCACCGTCATGCATCAACGTTATGCGTTATACCCATTTTACAAACATTCTATCAAGTCATTTTAGAGGATTTATGTCAATGTTATTGTTGAGAACCAATTTATTCTAGCTAAAAGAACAGTAAAAGAACTTACAGAAGTGAATGCCAGCAGTTCTTCTGCTGTTAGTTTGTGCACAGGATTGTTCTTCTGAAAGTCGGTGCTGGAAGACAACAGAATAGATTAGAAGGACAAACTCACCCGCTGCTCTGAAGAGCTGAAGAACTGAAGGAGTGAACTAAAATAAGCTCATTCATGAGCAAACACATGGATAAATACAGATGGGTTAAAGTAAATTAATTAGTGAAAGAGCAAAAAAAGTAAATGTTCAAATATTTATGTTTCCATAAGTAAATTGCCACTGTTCAAAACTGAAAAACTGCTGTTGATTTGGCTGTAAAAATTATAACAGGACTAATTCAGGACCAACTGTTCTCTTCAGCTCCTATGTTAGCTGAACCCTGTGAATGGTACATGTGGTGGTGAAACCATGGTAAATATTCAATGGTTCCTCTCCCACAGAAACCACAGTGCTAATGAGAGACAAAATGCAGATGTGCAGCGAGGTTCTGTCTGTAGTGGAGCTTTCTGACCCGTATCAGGTCATCACCTTGCAGAACATCCAATAAACCAGGCTGCATGCTAACTGAACGAGCCAGGATGAAGTCACACACTTTCCCCAAGCGTCCCTCCAGCCAGCGCAGACCCATCTGTGGTTCGGGAACCCAGAGCAGCGCCCCCCAGTGGCCTGTTCAAGAAGACATGCATCTTCAGTTGAAAGGCCCCGCACTCCAAAAAATCTATGAAACATTTCGCAGGCTATGAAATGTTTGATCCAAATCGCTAAAAGTTGATCTCTCTCTCACACACACAGCCTTCCTTAGCAACACTGAGCTCAAGAGCTGTGTCACGGCTATCTGAAAATGACTCCCGTTTCAGAAGCTAAATGACTTTTCTCAGTCAGCCTCTATTTGAACGTACATCAGAGCGGACAATAAAAGCAATCTGGATCATCGTAATTTTCCGACCCGGCTCGGTTTCCTCTGCTGCGCTGAGAAAGTCACACACACCTGAACGTCGTCTGAGAGCAGGTGTGGGATTTAAAGGATATCCCACACTCACATGCAAGCAGATAAATCCAGAAATGAGTGTGAAAATGTCAATGCAGATGTTTTAAAGGTATATTGTCTGATGCATGGCGGCCATTACGTGGAACGCTCTACATCGACCTCGCTCAATTCTACTCCAATTTTGTTTGAGAGAACCTTGTTATAGGGGCATTTTGACAGAACAGATTTATCCTAGTGGCTAATAAACAACAGAAGCTAAGCAAGAATGAGAGAAACACTACATGCTCCTTCTTTCAGGAAGGAGCATGAAGATGGAGCACAGCTGTGTTTAAGTTGAAGGCTGCTAAAATAAGCCAGCTCGGCTTTTAGATAGGTAACGTTTTCCGAGAGAAAGTTTCAGACTGTTTCCAACGTCATCCCTTCAACCAGAAACCCCCACTCTGCATCCTCCAAGGGTTCTAGAGGCTGTTACAGTGTTATTAGCAAAGCCAGAGGCTGAAATCATCTGCTGGTTTTCAGTCAGACCGAGTACCACAGAGGAGGAAAATCATTTTCTTTCCTTTCTCTCTCTCTCTCTCCATGTGTTCGATGAACAGAGCGAATCGTTCCGGCAGCTCATGCTGAGCCTCGCCAGGCGTTGCCATCTCTACCAACTAATCCTCCAAATCCTGACACCTTAAATGAAATCCATTTTTCAGTAAAGGTTTCCTGTTAATACCAACAAGCACAAGGAAGCTCAACTGAAGTTCTGTCTCTGAAAAGTCAGAGTGAGAAGTGGAATATGTTCGCAGAAACTCCAACATGCAGGATTTGGGGAAAGGGCTTAAAAGAGACACAAAGCACACACACACACATTTCTGTTTTAATGTAATGTTTCAGGTTGATAAGGTACTTGACCTATAAAGTCATCTAAAAACTGCTGAAAGCTCTGCATAGTTGGGATGCACTGATCCACTCTTTTCACTCCCAATACCAATACCTGAGGTTTAGCATCTGACAAACAATTGTCCTAAAATGTTTCTTTTTTTTTTTCCCAGTAACTCAGACATAAATGAACTGAATTACAAATGTATTTGATAACTAGTACAGCATAATTATTTTACAAACAACAAACATGAATTTGTCCAGTCAGTGCAATTGGGAGTAGAACAGCCAATGTAAAATAAATCAAGAAGGAACTGAAACTAACGAAAACAATAGGTTGATTACCTTGGTCAAACACACAAGAACAAACTGTAACAAACCTTCTTTCAAATGGTTCAGAAAGCGGAATTGGGAATTCTAAACAATGTAAAATAAAAATAAAGCATGTCGATCAGAGCATAAAAGATAGAATTAGACTGAATAGATCTGCCCTTATAGTTTGGGCACATTGTCACCAATACCCCATCTAAATTATTTTTCATCATCAGGGCTGATACAGACATTAATATTGGATCTACTGCACAGCAGCAGCCAGACAGGGAATCCTGTTCTGTTCTGTGCTGACAGACTCTCCACCATGCATCAACCACCTGAAATTAAGTATAATCTCATTCCAGTTTACTGTTTAGGCAACAATAAGATAAAGAGACACCACAGCAGGGCTGCACGTATCTATGTACAGCCCTGCTATAGACACATGTGCAGTTGGTACAGTTAGCACTGTTGCCTTGCAGCAAGAAGGTCCTGGGTTTGATTCCCGGCCCCGAGTCTTTCTGCATGGAGTTTGCATGTTCTCCCTGTGCATGTGTGGGTTCTGTCTTGTACTCCAGCTTCCTCCCACACTCCAAAAAACATGACTGTCAGGTTAATTGGTCTCTCTAAATTCTCCCTAGGTGTGAGTGTGTGTGTGTGCATGGTTGTGTGTCCTGTCTGTCTCTGTGTTGCCCTGCGACAGACTGGCGACCTGTCCAGGGTGTACCCCGCCTCTTGCCCGAAACGTTCGCTGGAGATAGGCAGCAGTGACCCTCCTGACCCCACTAGGGACAAGGGTGTAAAAAAAATGAATGAATGAATGAATGAATGAATGAATGAATGAATGAATGGATGAATGAATGAATGAATGAATGGATGGATGGATGGATGGATGGATGGATGGATGGATGGATGGATGGATGGATGGATGGATGGATGGATGGATGGATGGATGGATGGATGGATGGATGGACACCATAGCAGTAATTATTAGTGTATAAGCAAACGCCTCCACTTGACCTTTACTTCAGTTTGAAGTGTGGAGAGCTTTGCATCAACATCATCATGATAAACATGGGGATAAATCAGAGAGAGAGAGACAGTCCATGTTCTCAAGGCTCCCTGGTTCCAGCAGTAACAAATAGGGCCTGGAATAAAAAAATAAAACGAATAAATCTGATGAGTGGCTTTTTGGAGGACTCGGAGGTCTAATCTACTCCTGTCTGACATTACCTTGGAGCTACATTCAGGTGTGCAGATAGGGCTTTAATTTAAACAGAGCCCAATGCTCATCAATCATCTCCCTGCAATCTCACTGACTGCTGCGTCGCCCTTCACTTGACCCATCTGGCCTCCGCCGCGCCGGCGAAATTCATCACCGACAGGTACAGAGCTCCGATATTAAACTAAGTGTCTGCTGGTCACCATGGTTCTGGATGGAAAGGGGGCCATAAACAGGTTCTGGTCAGGGACGGGTCACTGTCCCAGGAACTGCTGTAAACACCCGTCACATCATTACAAATACAGCTTTAATGGAATCCCAAAAAGTCTACAGTCCATGTTGTTATAGCGACAACAACAATCAGTTTCTTCAAAACGAAGAATAGAGCTGGATGAAAATAACCTGGAAAGAAAATTAGACTGAAGGATTGCTTTAGTTGCATTTGCTTCTTCAAGATAACCCAATATTAAACTGTCAAGTTAAAAATACTTATGAAAAGTTTAAATGCTTGATGGAATAATGTAGGGTGTATTTTGACATTATGTAATAAATAAAAGAAATGTATAAAAAAGAAAAAAAAAACTGTAAAATATCATCTGGGGCGGGGACAATGTTTTTTTTTCATTACTTTGTTTCAGGGTGCAATTTCTTTTACTGCGGTTGACGGACGATTGGTGAGACTGAACTTATCTACAACCACAAAATTCTGAAAGAGGAGAATCTTGTAGCTGTTTAACAATAGTTAGACAACCACAACCGTGATGGGCCATTTTTTTTTGGTGCAAATGCGACGAGAATATGAACACACGGAGTACATAACGTTTTATGCTAGGGGTGCACTGATTTATCGGTCAGCCGATTTATCGGTGCCGATTTCCTTAATTTTGGGATTAAGGAAGCCAATTTTAACATTAAGTAGTCCTCCAATCACCAGGTCCCAGGTCATGGTGACTGAAGCCCATCCAAGTCATGTTTTAAACACACAGACAGGGTGGGGGGAGTTGACCTACCACACACCCAGGACGAGGGCCTGCTCTTCAGCACTCAGGTCAGGCAGCTGGTACAGATCGGGCTCAGCTAAAGTGATCCGATCCAGCAGCGTGTCGTCGTCCAGATGGTAATCCTGTCAACAACAACAAAAACCTCCAGTCACACACTTTTAACATTTTTAAACACTAAAGCGCAGTGGGCAGCTGATGGACTTTAGCGCCTCTACCACCAGGCTGAACAAGTTTTCTGGGGGAAATCCTGTGTTGGCAGCAGTTTTGAACTCCCATGGATGAAGTTTTTTTTTTTGCTGTTGACTCTTTAACACTGACTAACTCAGTTCTAGAAGCTCGTGTCCTTCCTTTAGAGACCTCCTATAAGAGTCATCAGCATGCTCTGATGTTTGTCTTCATTTGGAGATAATGGCTCTCCAGTCCAGGCATCATTGATTGATGCCCATTAATGCTTCTTATCCTTTCATTCATTTCCTTAGACTGAGGCGCGATGTGTTAAGTTTGAGGCCTACTTCATATTAAAAGACAGATATAAGTGGTTTGATTCTGCATCGGCGGTAAATTAAATTAAACCAAATAAAAATGTTGTTACTCATTGTTAATTTATGTCTAAGCAAAGGATGTACATATATTTTCACATCAGGTCAGGTTGTGTTGGATTAACGGTCGCTTAATACGCAAGTTTTCCTTCAGTGTATTACAAGCCTGGCGGGCCACCAGGCTTTACTTTAGCCTTGTGTTCAGGCTAAGCAATGTTTATTTATTTAAGTTTTTTTTTTTTTTTAACAATTGACTTTTCTTTAGGACTATTTAGTTGGAGTTTAGGCATTAATCTTCCAGTATTTCAATAACACATAATAATCAAGTAATATTTTCACATTTCCTGTCAACTATAAACATTTTTTGACTCAAAACCACAGCGAACTGCTTTTATTTCAGATCCCTTTTGTTAAACTGCTCCAAACGCTGACATCGCCCCTGCCCTCAGAAAATTATCTACAAGGTGACAATGTGGCATCAGCTCAGATAACAAAGTCCTGTCAGATCAAGAGGCAGAGCTCCTCCCTGGTTGCTAGGGTTCAGGCTCAGTGATGAACACATGACCCGCTTCTCTTCTCTCCTCCCATCATTATAAAATGAGTCGCTGAGCTCCGGCTAATGACAGTCTTGATTGAGTCCATTGATTGTCCCTCCCCACTTAATGGAAGCATGATAAATTTAAGCACTGACAAAAAAAAAAGAAGAACTGGAGCAAAGCAGTGAGTCTGAGACCTCTCGGGACACAGCCCAGCAACCATTAAATACATTTAGAAAATATTTAAAAGACTGATATTAAACCATCAACCACAAATTCTTTAACAATAACTTGGCAGGAGATTTGAAGAACTATTAGTTGAATTAATGTTTTAGTCCAAAAAGGCCGGATCCTTCATTGGGCTGGCAGAGAATTTGAAGAAGCACAACTTTAGCATTCATAGCAATCACTATAAGTACTTATAGTGATTGATAAATGTTTAAGTACATTTATTAATAAATGTACTTAAACGTCGTAAACTGTTGATTCCTATATGCCGAGTTTTGTTCCCAACATCCTGGCTGGTGTGAAGGCCATGTGACTGATAATGTGAAGTGGTATTCTGGTGCCTTTGATGAAAGGTAAGTCGCTAACCGCTGGGTTTTATTAAGTTGATGTTGTGATTGAGTTTACTTTATGTTCATCTGAACTCTTTCAGCAGTTCAGATGAACATTGTCAACTGATGTTAGGACCTTCATACAGAAATAACAATTTCATTTCATTTCATGCTGACTTGATGAGTTCCAACCCTGATTCCCAAACCAAACGGTCATGAGTGATTGTGTATCAATTGCTAGATTATTCTGGAGGCTGCACAGAAACTGCAAACAGTTGAAGCTTTTCAATAAGAACTGAAGTCTAAAATAGGTAAAGCAGGTGTAAAGCCAAGCTAAGGAACTCAACCAGACAAAAGCTACTGTTGAGCTATGAAGATAGAGACGGTTCCTACTTTGGGTAGGCTGGCCTGTGGCGTCGGAGTGGGACTGGTCTCGCTGACCCTCTGATCAGCCTCCTCCTCCCCCTCCTGCCTTTTCACCTCAAGGAGGAGCTGAGCCAAAAACTTTTCCTGGAAGCGGGTCCGTTTCCCGAGAGCACCTGGATTAAACAGCATCAGATCAGGAAAAAGAGTTCAACCTCAACATGACCAAATATTCTTAAGAACCCCACATTTTTAAAGAGTAGATTTCTCTGACACGGCACTCATATTTTCAAGTCAACCAGTATCCCACACACCTGTCATGTTGATGTGGAGCCCGGAAAGCTCCTTGGCCGTGTTGATGTGCTCCTTGGCGCTCCCGTACTCGTAGTAGGTCAGACTGATGTAGGCACATTCCAGGTGGAACTGGATAGCCAGGCTCCTCTGGTCCGACAACGCCGACTGGCATTTCAGCACTGGAGAAGAAACAGAATTATGTTTCTAAGAATGCTTCTATCAATAATACTGTGAATCAATGGTCTGTACAAGAACCATACTGAATAGCAAGACCTCGATTCTCTAAGGTGTTTTTCTTCTTCTTGTAGCACACTGCAAATTTCTGTCATACCTGTGAGGATCAATTGTGGTCTTGGTGATTCTTACAAACAAGCCATGTGAGCAGAGTAGAGCTGCAGCGTAGAGAAGGAAAGCTACAATTAAAAGCTGTATTTACTTCATTTTCTTTTCTTCCAACCTCATCAAAAATTCACTCCTTTCAACTGAGACAAAGAAACTCTCCCCAGGAGAAACTAGCACAGGAAACAAAGCCCAGAGCAATGAGATAATTGATCAAAAGTCAGATATTTGGGAATGAATCAAGACAATGCAACGCCTCCTACGCATTGCTACTTTTAGCTGCATGCAAACGTTATCATTCGAGCTAAGATGAAGATTTTAGCTCATTTTAACTTATACCTTACTGTTTCCATACTAGGATTATGCTACTGTAGATTAACATGGTAGTAATAGATCCCATGCTAACATTAGCATTTCAGCTAAAAATAACATTTTAGCTAAACTGATGCTGAAATGGTGTAAGTCAGTGTTATCAACATGCTATTGATAGCATTTTAGCTAACTTTTGTATTTTTTTTTTGTATTTATTTATTTATTTCAAACAGATTTTTAAAAAACAAGCAAACACGCAACAAGTAGGACAGATAAATCATGTGCATACATAACCAAAAACAAAGTAATTCCTTTGCAACCATTTTCCTGTTTGAAAAAGAGTAGGAAGAAGTTAACACTTATTAATCCTACCCCCCATCTCAATTTAATGAAATAATTCTGGACATTAACATGACATGCAACAAAGACAGACGTAAATTATCTATTGCTTAAAGCTGTATAAGCTTTGATGCTCAAACTTAAGGCCCACAAAACCGAACTCAACCTGAGAACTCCTGATTCTGGTCTAACTCATACTCACATAGACTGGCCCCTTTTACATTTCTTTGGAAATTTTCTTTTACTAGTCACCATTCAGAAACCGAAGCCAGGGTTGGAGCAGCCAGAGCCAGCAAGGTCACAGGAAGAGATTTACATGCAAGACGTCAGAGTCACCTTTAGAACTGCCGCTTTCACATTGAAGAGAATGACTCACTGCAGGGTGTGTGTGCGTGTGTGTGTGTGTGTGTGTGTGCCATCAGTAGAAAGCAAGAAAAAGATGCAGTGGATCGATTTTACTAACCAAGGAAAACACACTTGATTTCAGCTAATTAAAGGGTAAACCATGTTCAGTAACAGTGTGATGTACCTCAAGATGCCACTGGTTGTTCAACTCTGTACAACTCAAACAGCAGTCTTTCCAAACATCCTGACAGCCTGTGCGATTTATTCGTAAAAACACATTTGTCAATTTTATCAATTTTTTCTACTCCCAACATCTTGTTCCTCATGGGAAACACTAGACAGCTGTAAAAGAGACATGATATCCACACTGCTCTTCAATGGGCTCCCAGAGCACCAGTAAGAAGCTTAAGGAGAAGGTGACACATGTAAAAGTAATAATTCATAAAAATGTGAAATATGAAAATCAATCAAACTCTTCTCTGGAAAGGCTGAGAAGATCATCAATCAGTTAAAAATGTCATAATATCCCTTACTTTTTTATCTATTCTAGCAGAAAATGACCACATGATAAAGCACAAACTGAGAAACGGCTTGTAGTCAAGTATGGAGATGTGGACTATGACCTTTTAGTCTTCCCATGAGAACACCACCTGCGTTTTTTCTATATAAATGAGGATATATGTTCAACGAAACATGTTAATGGCTGGATAACACAGCAAAATGTCAACATGTGTGAAAGTGTTATGCAGCAAACTGATGTAAAAAAAAAAAAAAAAAAAGAAAAAGGAAAGAAAAACACTCAAAAGTTTGCAACCAGACAAGAAATAAACAAGATCTTGACCGCTGAAGAGAAACTGATTCCACTAATGATGGTTAAACTAAAGCAGCAGCAGCACATTCAAACATCAGTTAATTAAAACTGTTCAACTGCTAATAGACAATGTGATTAAAAAGAGCTGAGGAAATGAATTCAGCAGCACCTTACCCCACAGAGCACCAAACCAATCTAAAGTGAGTCAGACATGATGACAGCTCCGGCACACAGTGCAGCAGCTTCCCACCGCATCCTCCACACCTCTCTGCTCACAGGATTTTTATCTCCAGCACATCCTGCTCCTTCTTTACTACTGCTAACCGTTATATCATATTAAACAATAGCAAACCTGTTGTCTGGTTTTAATCCAACCAGTGATGCCAGTGATGGCGTAGCGTTAACCTGTAAAGTAGTGGAGTTGGTGGAAGAGAACACAGATGAGGAAACTACTGAGGAAGTGAAGCACAGACAGAAGAAAATGTCCCTGGACTGATTCCTTCATGCAGAGTGCCCCAGGTCAGAGAGCAGCTATGAAATCATAACAGAAAGGATGTGTCCTTCCAAAGAAAGTTACTTTTCCCCTGGCCCCTAAAGCATCTCCATAACTCCAGCCATAACTCCTAATAGGGGTGTGTGACTCACAGACACTGTGTTCAGTGTCTATTATTCATTCCCTCATTGATATTTCACAACGCAACACTTTTGGCAATGCTTCCAGACAGGAATAGTTTCTCTTGTGAGTAAAACTATGAGCTTGAGTGTTGTCCACATTTAAGAGGCATTTGGGTTTGTTGAAAACAGCAAAAAAACAGATATTTGGTCCGTGCAAACAGCGATGAAATCCAGCAGTCGCTCTCCTTTACAGCTGTACGTTTTCTTTAGTTTCAGATATCAGTCAGTCGTATCCCACATGGTATCTTAACTGATACTGTAACAGAATCCCACCTCATGTTGTTGTACCTTTTTGAGACTGAACTTGTTCCAATTCTTTGCAGTAATTTGTGTCATCATGTCAGTATGCATTCTGACTTTTTATCTAGATGGTCAAATTCCCTGCCGAGGGGCAATAAAGGTTTTAAGACAAATTCTTGGACATCCGGATTATGAGTCTCCAAAATCCTTTAGCACAGTGGACCACCGGTACTCTGAGACTCCATCTATTAATGCCCAAAACTACCGTATTTTCCGCACTATAAGG